TTAATGACTTTTTGCCTTCTACCTGTATGATGATCTTGATGTCATCCCACAGCTCTTCTGGTCTTTGGTGTTTAGTGTTTAATATATCAAATCTGTTCTTCAGATGATCTCTAAATTCAAATAGGATGTAGTCTCGGACAACCTGTACTCTGGATCATTTCTTCAACTTTATCTTGTAACTATATTGTTATGGGAGAGCGCAGTGACTCTGTAGGATAAGCACTGGACTGCAAACCACAAGTCAGTGCTTCAAGCCCACCAGTAGCTCTGACGAAGGAGCAGAAATACTCCTTCAAAGATGTACAGCCTCGGAATTCCTATACAGGGTTGCCATGAGTTAGAACTGACTAGACTATATTTAACAACAAATTCTGTTATGATTATTCCTTTTTTTATAGCTTCTTGTTCATTTTTTAAATTTGCTTTCAGGGTGAAAATATATACAACAAAATAATACATCCTCTCAACAATTTCTGCATGTATATTTCAATGATATTCTTAAAGTTGTACAGTTCTTGATATCCTTTTCCAAATCATTCTATCACATTTAACATAAACTCACTGCCTCTAGGCAGAAATTCTCCACTTCCCCCTCTCTCCCACCCCTAGTAACCCCTAATAATCTTCTGTTACTATGTATTTGCTTATTGCATGTAAGTGAGATCATACAATGTTTGTCCTTATATTCGAATCGGGCTGCTAATCTCATGGTCAGCAGTTCGAAACTACCAGCTGTTCCATGGGAGAAAGATGAGGCTTTCTGCTCCCATAAAGATTTACAGCCTTGGAAACCGTGTACAGGGTCACTATGAGTCGGAACCGACTCCATGGCACATAACCACAACATTTTGTTCAGCACATTTTTAAACTTTATCTATTCAAGAAGAATGAAGTCCTTGACAACTTCAATCTTTTCTCTGTTGATAAGCATGCATCAAGATTTTATTATTTATTCTCTTTGAGTAGTAGTCTGCTGTGTTCATGTGCTCCATTTTGTTTGTCATATATGTGATCTGATTCTCTGCTTCTCTTTTCATATGTCTCTAGGTTGATTCCCTTTTTTATATTTATTATCATTTTAGTGAGTTGGGAGTAGCAAAGATAAACAAATGTGTTCAGTCTCTGTGGGTACCTAAAACTTCTGCACTGTTCAGGAAGAAATTGAGTTTTAAAGGATATCAGAATAAACTAATAGTGTATTTGCTCTGTAAAGTGAGCCTGTAGATACTATTTTTGACCATTTATCACTCATCATTGTGATTAAATAGGGAGTCAGTAATTTCTCAGCCAATGAGAGTGTTTTAGGGTCTATGAATGCTTTGATTTTCAAATATTTCAGTCTCTCCCTTATTAATACTTTAAAAAACAGAAGTTTTATTGTGAATTATATGATAATTTACTTGGGAGAATATTAGCTTTACATTCATCTTATTGTATATTGTTTCATTGCCATGATTACAATCCCTTCCATGTGTCATCAAACAACTGAAGGGTACACCCCGCAAGCCTGCCCCTCGGTCGTCAGCACACAGCCCCTCTCCCTCTCTGTGTCTAAAGTCCCCAGCTGCTCCATCTCTCCACGTCATTGTCTCTGCCTCCATCTCTGGTGTCACTGTTCTCTGGGTAGGGTATCGCACTCCGCTCTTCGCCCTTGATGGTCCCTGGGACCTCCGCTCCTAGACTGCAAAGTTAATCA